TACGATGCGGCCTGCACGAGACGGACCACGGGTCGGACCACCGGGCGATCGAGACGACCTTCGACATCGCCGCGCCTGAGATGGAAAGCCGGCCACGGCTCCTCCTCAAGAACGCCCCATGGAAGCAAATCAATGAGAGAGTAGAAGCAAACCTAGGGCGAATGCCAACAGGAGGTACGGTGCAGCAACAGACGGATCGACTGATGTCTGTGGTGTGCGAGGCAGTAGAGGCACTGACACCTACGGCCAAGCCATCACCGTATGCAAAGAGATGGTGGACGGCTGACCTCACCCAGCTCCGGCAGATCCATACCCACTGGAGAAACCGGGCGAGAGCGGAGAGAAGGGCAGGTAACAGTCAACCTGAACTGGAGCAACGCGCACGCTCGGCAGCCAAGCAATATCACGATGCCATCCGACAACAGAAGAAGAGCCATTGGGAGGACTTTCTGGCCGACGACGCCAATATCTGGAAGGCCGCGAAGTATCTCGACGCCAGTAAAGGGGCATCTTTCGACAAGATACCTCAACTTAAAAGGGCGGATGGTTCCCAAACGGGAGACGCCGCAGAACAGGCCGAAGAGCTGCTCTCCACATTTTTCCCTCCTCTCCCCAGCATGATCGAGGAGGAGGGGGATCGGCCACAACGATCGCCGGTACCCTTCCCTAACCTCACACTGGGAGAAGTAGAGAGACAGCTCTTTGCGGCAAAGTCGTGGAAAGCACCCGGAGAGGACGGTCTGCCGGTGGCAGTGTGGAAGCACACGTGGCCAGTGGTGAAGGAGAGGGTGCTTACACTCTTCCAGACCTCACTGGATGAAGGGGGTTGCCGAGGCAGTGGCGACACGCAAAGATCATCCCGCTGAAGAAGCCAAAAAAAGCGACTACGGTATAGCGAAGGCCTGGCGACCGATCTCGCTTCTCTCGACGCTCGGAAAAGTGCTGGAGTCGGTCCTGGCAGAACGTATCTCGGCACGCTGTCGAGACGTTCGGCCTCCTTCCACGAGCCACTTTGGCGCTCGCAAGCAGAGGTCGGCAGAGCAGGCGCTGGTACTGCTGCAGGAGTACATCTACAGAGCGTGGAGAAAGAGAAAGGTGGTCAGTCTGGTCAGCTTCGATGTCAAGGGAGCATACAATGGTGTGTACAAAGAGAGACTACTTCAAAGACTCAGAGCGCGGGGGATCCCGGACAAGCTGGTGAGATGGGTGGACGCCTTCTGCTCCCATAGAACGGCAAGCATCCTGGGTTAACGGTCACGAGTCCGAGGCTCGTCCGCTACCACAAGCCGGACTGCCTCAGGGTTCGCCGCTTTCGCCCGTGCTCTTCCTCTTCTTCAACGCCGATCTCGTACAGCACCAAATCGACGAGAACGGGGGCGCGCTGGCCTTCGTCGATGACTACACGGCGTGGGTCACAGGCCGATCGCGCGAAGCAAACCGTCAGGGCATCCAAGATATTATCGATCGAGCACTCGCGTGGGAACGACGAAGCGGGGCGACGTTCGAGACGGACAAGACGGCCATCATCCACTTCACGCGCAACTGGAGGCTGCCGGCGGACTCAACCAGCTTCGTCATCAAAGGTGACACTGTCCGAGCAAAGGACCACGTCAAAGTATTGGGAGTGATGATGGACACGAAACTCCGTTTCGAAAAGCACATCGCAGACGCGACGACAAAAGGGCTGGAGGCCGTGCTGGGGCTCAAACGGCTCAAAGGCCTGTCTCCGGCGACGGCCAGACAGCTTTTCGTGGCGGCCGTAGCACCGACGATGGACTACGCGTCGAACGTCTGGAGGTACAGGTGTCGAGCAGCGCAGATGAGGGTGATCAACCGAGTGCAGAGGATTGGCGCCCAAGCGATCGTGGGAACCTTCAACACGGTGGCCACGGCGGTCGCTGAAGCGGAGGCAAGCATACAATCGGCGCAAGAGAGGTACGACAGAAAATCAACGACATTCTGGGTACGGCTGCGAAGCCTTCCCAAGACCCATCCGCTTCGACGTCTGCGGGCGGTGGCCTTTAGACGGTTTCCGTCACCCTTCCAGTTGATGGCGGAGGCCTATCGCGACCTACCCCTTGACAAGCTGGAGACTATCGAAGGGTATTCGATCGCTCCTTGGGAACGTCGTATTGATACAGTAGTCGACGACGACACGGTCAAGGCCTCTGAGGCAATCCGGTCTGGATGGGCAGTGAGGATAGCGACAGGGAGCTCAGCAAGGAACGAGGTTGTGGGCTTTGGAACGGCGACGACGCTGCCCGCATCTTTCAGAGGGGGCGGTGGCGTCGTGACGGCCTCGCGTACGTTCGGTCAGAGAACGGAGCAGAACCCGTATGTAGCAGAGCTAGCGGCACTGGCAGAAGCGGTCAAGTCTCTCCCAGAGAGACTCGAGTACCGGGCCATCCACGTCTTCACCCGCAACAAAGCGGCAGTGTTGGTGATGCACAACCCGCGGCAGCAGTCAGGCCAACAAGAGATCCGACAACTATATGCCAGCGTGCAAGCTCTGCAGAGACGAGGCAACAGAGTCACTCTCTTCTGGCTTCCATCATCGATAGAGTCAGACCTGGCGCAAGCGGCCAAAGCAGCAGCAAAGGAAAGTACCCAAGTAAACAAGACACCACAAAAACGGCCGGCCAGAGCCTACTCGACGGCACTTAGGATCGCTTTACAGAGCGTGCGACAGAAGCACGGAGCCTTGCCCGACAACGTAGGAGCATATTCGAAGAAGATCGACATAGCCCTGCCGGGAAACCACACACGCAAGCTGTATGACGGACTGGCCTGGAAAGAAGCCAGCATTCTAGCGCAACTACGCACCGGAATGGCAAGGCTGAACTGGTACCTCTACCAGATCGGCGCAACCGCCGCGGCGCTATGCGCTTGCGGGCAATCTGCAGAAACGGTAGAGCATTTTCTCTTTCGATGCACACAGTGGACGGCACAGCGGACTCGGATGCTCCAACAGACGGAAACGCGGAGAGGAAATCTGTCATACTTCCTGGGAGGAAAGCGCGCGTCCGACCCTAAGGATTGGTCGCCAAGCGTAGACGTTGTCAAAGAGACGATCAAGTTCGCCATGAGCACGGAGAGGCTAGATGCACAGATCAGCCAGCAGCGAAACCACACGCAACTAACATCATCAAATTAACCGGAGACACCCCCACGCATCCTCGTGCCATCGACAGCAGGACTAGCTTCGGCCGCCGACGATAGGACGTCGAACACTTTGAGAAACAACTCCGAGATGGCCTGCTACTAACCCCACGAGCAACCGCAGCATCGACATGCAAAACTAAAAAAGACACATACGGAGACGAACAAGACTTGTATGGGCTTCTGGGAGGCAAGGATATGAACGAATGTGGAGAATATGTAGATAATCATGCGAGCCCTAAACAGCTTAGCCGGGGCGTAATAAACTATGTATGTATGTACCACGCCGACTCATCTTTGCTCATTCAATTCCCTCCTACGGATCCTACGGAGGCACGATAATGACCAGTTCGAAGGTAACTACTATCACTGGAAATTGCAACACTCCGGGCTTTAGTGGCCTTCTCGTGCATTTGTGCGGGGCATAGTGAAGTTGGTTGTATTTTGCTTCACTCCTTAGATGGAGTGGAGTGGTTATCAAAACGCCGCGAACCATCGTTCTCAGAATTACTATCTCCTTCTCATCATTTCACAATACCCCCATCTACTCTTCATATTCTCGTCAATCTCTGTCCTGCACTCCTACAATGTTGCCATTCTGCTAAGTTTGCGTAGTAGCAGCGCCGGGGTATTTGTGTATGAATCGCAATTTGCGAATGTGTTTTGATCGAAGTGAGTAAGTGCCTCAGTAGCTGCTTCTCTCCTTGGTAGACTCTCGGTACTTTGACTGGGTTGAAGCTCAGTTCATCTGGCAGATCTCAAAGTACCAGTCTTGCGCTACGTAGTGCTCTGCTTTACTGCAAGCGCCATACGTGCATGTAGCAAGGGCGTGCAGAGACCAAAAGCGGGTATCGAATAGCGGGTCTACGCAGAAGTAGTAGACGCTGACTTTGTTGATGTCGGGTCGGTACCAGTGATTCTCGCTTTGTAGACAGCCCTGCCAGCATTCGGGGAGCTGGTGAAGGGGAAGTGGTCCCCTTGAAAGCTTTTCTTCCTCCTTTGGCCCTCCAATTTCTCCTGCGACTGCAAGGGAGACGCTGGAGAGGATGGCAAAAATGGCAGCGGAAGGCTTCATCTTGTCGGTTGATTGCTGCGTTGTGAAGTGGTGCTTCTTGTGATGTAGTTTGCGTCCACTGTGCCAAGACGCTTGGGTAGAATGCGAAGCTTGACTGAGTAGTCAGGCTGGGTGGGGATGGAAGCTTGGTCGATGGAAGAGACGTGAATGAGTAATGAAGCTTGTGAATGGTAAGTGCTTGTAGATGAGGGATGAAGCTTGTGGAGGTCGAGTTGGAGCCGTTGAAGTTGGAGAATTGCTTCTGTCTGAGCATTCTATTGTGCTTTTCTAGGAGATATTCTCCTCTTTATATATCTACCATTACCATACATCTCCGTTATGGTTCTCAAGACCTCAAACCTTATACCAAAATTCCTTATGGTCTCAAAGGTCGGACATCTACGAACCTTGAGGTCTGCGCTGATACATGAAGTGTCAAATTGAGGCTCACAGTTTAGCATCAAAATTTGTATGGAACAATAGGCTGGCCTATTGGTCCACAAGCACACCGGCCACACAAGGTTTCCCGAGCCCATGGCATGCCGCGAAGCTTACACTATACCCAGCTTTCGAGATGTAAAGTCAGGTCTTTGGCTCCTTAACTCTAAGTACCTTGTTGTCAAAGAAAATGAGTTATATGTGGGTCAAAACTACGAGAATACCACACCTCAGCCAGGATATGATGAACTGGATGACAGTGTCGAACGAATCGCGAGCCCTCTCCAATCTACTGAATCGTTTCCGAATGGACTACTATCGACAGATAGGCTCGGATTCTGCGTGGCCTTAATATCCTTTTGCCAGCGTCGCTTCCGCTGCGGGTGTGAGGGGTTACCACCATAAGCTCTCGGCGGCCACCGCTGGGGCAATAGTAACCTCAAGCTTCGAACCAGACTAAAGTTGCTGGGAGGACGTGTCTTCGAGGATGAGAAAGCTCCTTCAACACCCCTCCTCATGGAAAGGGCCACTTGGACAAGCCACCAGACTACCATATCGCTGAGCCCTGGAGGAGAGCAGTGCGCCATCGAGACCTGATATCTTGCGCGTAAGCTGGAGCCCATAACGCTTGATCATTGAAATTTCAATAAGTACTTTCTTCTACGTGTCGTATACAATCCCGAAAAGCTCTCCGTAGGGTAGCTCTCTGCCAGACCACTGACGCTGCGGGAGGATCTCGAGTATGACTAAGCTACGGATGACTGTTTACAAACGCTCAGTCGAGAAGGAGTTGAGGCCATCTCGGACGAATGAGGATCGATCCTCGTATATCGAACTGTGTATTGGGGATCTGAGAAAAGGGAAAGCGGGCGTGAGGTCACCGCGCCCACAATTCCTCCGAAAGCTTAAGAGGCTTGCGCAGGTAGAAGGGTCGGATGCCCGGCCCACACCCCCTTTTGAATCCATATTCACGGGGTCCAAACATCACAAACGGCAAGGCCGATTCAATTTCTCGTCACTTGGTACAGATAACATATCTTCATCATTACTTAGGTGCGTTTCTTGTTTCAGTGGCGTCTGGGACACTTCAAAGTCATGGCTATGCCATCCAAATTCTAAATAGCGGCAGGAGTCCTTCGGACCTTCGATAGAGGTTCTAATCGCTCTTCTCCTTCTCTCTTGGTTGATCTCAAAGCAACTTTTAAACAAGATGACGCTGGGGACTGTCTGCTCACGCCCAGAAGTGACCTGGCTAGGACAGATGCGAGCAACTGAGACGGGCAAAGTCTTGTTACTACCTACCTTAGGTATCAAGAAGTCTTCTAGATTGGCAATCTGTGTCTGGGCAACTTCCCTAGCTTATTCGCCTTACTGAAAATTTCAAGCGGACCACCGCTTGAATGGTTAGGGAGCACTGCGACCCGCCGATCACCAGTCGGTGGCCCATTCCAAGGTGGGACGGGAGCGGGTCAAACCTCCTGGCCAATCACAGCAGCTCGTTTTGACCACCAACGTACTTGCCTTCCTCGAGCTACCTACCTACCTTAATGAAGCGAGGGATACCTCGCGTCCAGTCGCCCTGTAATGGGAGAGACCGCGGAATCGTGGCTCCTTACGCTTTGAAATCTCCGAATCGTCGATTCCATCGAACCAACTGCGTCATGAGTGACTGCTCTTCGAAAGGGAGGTGGAGATCGGATTCTCCAGGGAAGTACGAGTTCGGTGCCATGAGGAAAGGCATCCCGCCGGAATGACTGTCGGGCAATGGTAAGGTTTGTTCTAAATGCTCGTTCCAAAACTGTGACTTCTTGTCTCTGCAATCCCCGGCCTTCCGTGTTTGTCGGTTTGGATGCCTAATCCTGTGGGAAAGCCAATAAAGACATTCGAAGTTCTAGTCACGCATCGTAGTTGCTGTTATTGCAGATCTTCCCAGTCTCCATTTAGACCCTTGACGGTGACCTGTGAGACCGCTGCGTTGGATTAGACGGGAGAGTCCCGTCCGTCTTGTCTACCTTAAGTAAGGTAGGTTAGGTATCCTGCTCCCACGGGTCTTACTCTCTCTGTTCTTGCAAGCTCTAGTCACATGCATCCTGCCGCCTCTTGATCTTCCGAATCCAACCACCTTAATCGTTCCTTCCTGTCGTCGAGACCCCTGACAGTCTGCTAGAGACAGGAAGGTACCTTATGTCATGATTAGAGACGCGGTAAGGTATGCGGGCATGCTGAAGCATGTGTGTTAGTGGAAAGAACGAAGAATGAAATGACCTTTGGTAACCGTCATCTCAGACCTTAATGCGTCTTTCCTCAAGATGAGTAAGACATCTGAAGGAAGTGTGATTACATAGAGAAAAGACATGGTCTGCCAGTGATTGCCATTTGTTACTCATGACGATTCAAGTTTGTTGATAGCTGTTGCAATTCATGCCATGCAGGGCGTACTTCATTCCTACCTTGAGTTTTGAACTCTTTGGAGGTGCCTTCCGCCCCTCGACATGGCGTACCTTCCCTCGTTGTCTCTCAACGCCCGTGTCGTCATTGTGGTGCCTTTATGCCTGACGAACCTGCTGGCTCTTGAGAAGGAGGAAGGTACGGGGACTCATGATCAGGCCAGAGAAGGAAGGAAGTCCGCAGAAACTCCCTCGTGGGTGTTCTACTTAATCCCCTTCTCGCTCCGTTCCCCTCTTCTGAACCTCTTCTCTTCTTTGGACTACGAGTAACGTACGTTGACCACCCCAAAAGGACGAGTTTTCGATCCAATTTTGCTGACTTGACTACAGACGAATTTCAAGTGAACTGCCTTCTCGTCTTTTTTTTCGTCTGCTCTTCGTCCTCTCATCTGGATCTGCCGCCGCCATCCGATTGCCGCCACCGCCACCATGGAATCCGTCGTTGAGACCGTTTCCTCCTCCGCCGCCTGGGTCGTGGGCGTGAGCATTGCCCTCGCCGACGCCGCATTCTCCTGGATCTCGTCGTGGATCCCGGTTTTGTTGGTATTCGACATCTTCGCGACCTCCTGGCTGGTTTGCCATACTTTGGGTTCGTCCGATATCCATCCCATCATCCCATCCCATCATCTCATTCCATCATCCCACCACATCTTCCGTTCTTTACTAACCTGTCTCAGTCATCCACCACCTCATCCCCGCCGCCCGCGAGGTCCCCTTCTGGACCCTCCGCCCGCCCTCGGAGCTCGTCACCGCCTGTGCCCTCTTGGGTGTTTACGTCTTCGTCCTCTTTCACACAGCCGGCTGCCTGGTGTCCCTTTGGTGGTATTCCTACGGTATACTCCGACGAGGATATCGGATCCCCAGAGGCGCCATTACCTGCCGAAAGATGGTTATGCAGACCCTGCCCGACGCCGACGATTCCCGGTACTGGTTCGACCTGGGGTTCCGACCCAACCTCTGCCTTCGCTGCTCCCGTAACGCCGATTTGGAAGGTGGGGAGGGCCCTGGGTCGATGCTGGACCGGATGTACCACGGCACGACGAACAAGGGGGTGGACTTGGGGTGCATCGCGCTCTTTGACCACTATGTAAGTTATGCTCCTTTTACCTCGTATTGGCAGAACTCGGCTAATGATTGTGGTCATCTGATCTAGTGTTGGTGGTTGTGGTGTCCGGTCTCCTTGGAGACTCAGAAGCCATACCTGCTCTTTATGGGTTGGGTTGTGGTCTTCCACCTTTACTCTTTGGGGATTCTCTGCTTCTCACTGGCGTCCTTTGGAACCAGGTGGTCGCTGTCCCCAGTTGTCGTGGCTGCCGGAGCCCTTCCCTTCGTTTTTCTCTGGGTGAAGAAGGCGCCATTCCGGGGTCAATGGGTTAACCAGGGACTTCGGAACCAAACGCACAAAGAGACGACGGCGTATATCCGGAACCTCCCCCAGCAGGCATGGCCGATGGGGATTGCCGGGCCTCACGGCTTGGAGCATGTGACGGTCGGATTTAACCCGTGGGATCTCGGCGCAATGGGAAACCTGCGCGCGGTGCTAGGCGACAGCATCTGGGAATGGCCTTTCTTCTGGCGTACCCCTCGCAGGGTGCGGGAATTCGGTGCTCACCCCGATTGGGATCTCCCTTTCGGACCTCGGTGGGACCAATTCATTGAGGATCGTGCTCTGGTTGTACCAGTCGGGGGTCTACCGGATGGCATTAGCCTCGCTCCTCTCCCTCCCGCCCTCCGCAACGACATTTCGCGGCGCCGACGCATTTGGAGTTCGGAGGATTAGGCTGGCCGGGGGCCGGCGACTTGAGGTCGGTTACTTGCCTCGTCGCGCCCTGGCACACGGTTGGCGGTCGGTTACGCGCCCCGCTGTGACGGCTTGAGGTCGGATTTACTCGCCTCGCCCAGTCTACTCTCGACAATACATGCAGCCTGCCGTGCAAACAGGCACACCAATATGTATTACGCCTTCTCAGGACTGATGATCCTGAAAGGCCTCGCCCATCCATTCGAAATTTCGTTTGGACTTGGAGGATGACAACCTCTTTAAAAAACAAGGCCGACAATGTCGCACCTTCACGCTGGTGTCGGCTGTCAGTAGTCGGAATTGCGATCGGGCGATCGAAGACGACGAAGCCAACGCGACCGCGGGTCACTGTTCTATCATTGGAACACAACCTGCCACCCCTGGGTTCCTCAAACTCTCGACAAGTCACACACTCACTCTCAACTTCAACGGACACACTCTGTGACTTCGAACTCTTGCCTACGATCAAACACACGCCAGGCATTGTTCACCCCAGGGTTTCTTGCAGTCTCAACACTCTACACTCATCTCATCACTCCGGGCCCATTGCATATCCATCATACCATCTGCAATGTGGCTTTGGGACAGGAAGTCTGCACAGCTACCTGCGAGACTGCAATCAATAGAGGCTCATCACCTCGGTCATCAACCTCGGCAGTCATCCACACCTTGCCTCGAGGTTCGACCACCACTCTTCACTCAACAACATTCTCTTTCAACGCTGTCTCCACAGACTCTTGACACAACTCTTTTCCGACACAATCACGGACATCGGATGTAACATCAGTCGATCGAGACATCAGTTGAGCGACACATCGCTTGAACAACACATCAGTTCAACGGCACATCAGCTGACTGACTGACATATCAGTCAATCGATATGGACAGCGCCTTCGCTTCTCAATCATCAACACCCCTGGACTCTGCTTCAGGTCGGCACATGGATGGGTTCTTCCTCATCCACGACTCACCTTGATCCATCCCTGGTCAAGTTTGGTTCTCCATGCACTCGGACCATCCCCACACGTGTTTTCTGAGCAGCAGAAACTCGACCCTTTGTCCTCATTCCATTCTAACCATTCGATGACCTTTGGTTGACTCTTCAACATCCTTAAGACGTAACAATGTTGAGACGTAACACTCACACATCACGTCTCTCACCCGAACATTCTCGTTTCTGGGGCAGCAGAAACTCGGCAAACTGTTTCGGTAGTTCTCACATTTTTGACTTCAAGCTCTTGGGTCACGGTTCAGTTCATGTTTCTTGGGCCACAGATACTCGGCATTACACTTTCAACCAAGTCTTTCATCTTCTCTTACTTTGGTCTTGGCACAGTGTTCCTGGAGCAGCAGGAACACAACACACTTCTCTCATCCACACTCTCGGCTTGCGACTTGGCACTCGCGAACTCAGCCTTCTTCTCTCATCTTGTTTCTGGGGCAGCAGGAACAACCAGCATTTCTCTCTCATGCTCACTCTTGGCTCACGACTTGGCACTCGTGAACTTGACTTCCACCTATCATCTTGTTTCTGGGGCAGCAGGAACGTTCAACACTCTTCTCTCATCCACACTCTCGGCTCGCGACTTGGCACTCGCGAACTCAACCTTCTTCTCTCATCTCGTTTCTGAGGCAGCAGAAACGCGTCACTCCACTTTGACGCAACACTCCATTCTGGGTTATCACTTCATTTCCCTCACTTCAGTTTCCGTTGGCAGAGGAATTTGACAACTCACTTGTCTTTCTTCAACTCTTCCGGCAAATCTTGTCTTCACTTCGCGTTTCTGGGGCAGCAGAAAACCGATAACTCACTTTATTCAACATCTCTGAATTTCACTTCACTTTCCTGTGGCGGGAGGAATCAACACTTCACACATCTTTCTCTGGCCATTCCTGGCTACTCTTCACGTTTCTGGGGCAGCAGAAATTCGGCACTTCACTGCAATTCGGCAACTTGGACCGGATCGGCCTTCACTTCATGTTCCTGGTCATCGGGAGTTTAGAACATACATATCCTTCAACTTCTTTGGCACTTTCTTACCTTCACCTCGCGTTTCTGAGGCCGCAGAAATGCTTTCTCTTCACTTCGTTCTCTTGGCAACTTGAGCTCGACACTAAACACCTCAATCACCTTGTTTGGACTTTTCTCTTTTCCTTGTTTCCCATCTTCTTCTGGGGCGGCAGAAGCAAACATATGGCCCAACACATCTCATTCTTCACTTCCCGTTCCTCCAGCGACAGGAACCCAACAGATCACACTTTCTCTTTTTTTGCACTCTCCCCATGTGTCTGGGACAGCAGGAACTCCTTAAATCACATGACAACGACCCCTCTGATTCATCTCATTCCCAATGTCACAGGAGCTTGGCACTCCTCGCACCCTCAAATCCTTCGAGCAATCTTCTATCTTCCAACTTGCTTCTGAGGCAGCAGAAGCACCACACTGAACCATCCGTCGATCTCTGTTTGAAACAGCCGGGCATCTCTCACATTTCATTCTTGGAACAGCAAGGGCGATACACAACTCGCTCACCCAGCTCTTTGGCACTCATCTCTCGGCTTTGCATCGGCACTCTTGGAGTCAGCTTCATTCGCTGACTCTCAGCGACTGTCTTCGGGGCCTGCGGAGGATATGCCCCGGCCACCAGGCGGCAATCCGCCAGTCATTCATCATTTTACAACTTTCTTTCTTGGTGCGATCTCGTCACTTGGAACCTTCACATCAGAGAAGCTTATCGACAGACGGAAAGGGGTCAGGTTGGCGCTGAGCTGAGAAGCATTCTTCACAGAACATTCCTTCAATGGGCACTTGCATGCGCAACCATGATTCTCAGCAGATGGATCAATTGCACGCAACTGGACGATCCGTTTGTCTTTTTCACATACCCGGGGCGTGGATGCTAGGGCGGTAGAAAGATGTGGCCTACCCGTGCTCACCCAAAGGCTTGTACCCTCGTCACGATCCACCGTTGCAGCTGCTGATCAGCACAGGTACCAGAACGACACATCTCGCAGCGCTGGCGTCATGATAATCCAGTTACCTGGAGCTTACAGGCTGCAAGCTCAAAGTTGCAGTCGAGCGTTGTAACGGGACGTGCAAGCCACCACCAATCAACGCCATGGACACCAGTACTTGAATCAGGATCAAGTACGTCACATCTTGATGTTTATTCCATGATGGAAAGGTACTGATGCTTCGACACAGGTGACGACGGTCTCATCGCTTTGTGGGCCAACAAGTAACAAGTATTTGGAGGTCTGCTCATGGCATTGTTTGGAATCACTGACTTGTGCTTCAGCTTCTTGACTCGAAGTCTGGCCGCGCTTGTGGCTGCGTCGAAGCTCCTACTCGGACGGCGCGGAAGGGTTTGACAGAGGCACAAAGATGCGTTACGATGTCGCAGATCAATTGGTCACCGAACGGTATGTCTCAATTCAACTACTCGGTGCTCCAGCTTGACCACTGACCACAAGTCTTCGTCCAGTTCCCAAACAATTGCCAAGTCCAGACAGAATGCCGACTTCGAGGACAAAATAGGGCATTGGTGGAAAGGGACGTCGTGAGTGGCTTGGAAAAGCTAGAGGATCGTTTTGGTGTAGTGGGATCCGCTACATGGAGGATTATCTAGAGGGCAAGGGGAGAGGGCCGAGGGATGGAGTGCGGAACACCAGGGCATACTTGAAGCGGAAGCCATTCGGGACACATGCACTTGGAGTCGATAAGCTATGCCCTACGTAGTAGAAGCAACGCATTCAGATCCGTCGTTTGACAGGCAACCTCCGATAGGCGATTGTCAGCGCTCTCTTCAGCTCCTGCCTACTCGAGCAAATGGGGGAACAGGTCTTGTTGAGATATATGCCAATGATAACTTCAGTGTTTTCCCAGGATCAATGCAGGAATTCAGGTTTTGTTTCTACGCGCAAATGTTTGTAAGTGTTGTAGTTCCTCTCTATTGGAAGTCGATGCCAGGAGCATCTCGCCTACGAATCGCCGAGGTAAAACATGTTTAACGAAGAAGATGGACGTTGCAGGAATCCTACTCGCCTGGAATCAAAGTCACACTTCAAGCTTGCAAATTGATCAACAGCATCAGGATGAATGGTCTCGCCACGTACGTCGTGGTGTCTTCTGGTGGTGGGGGCAAAGGAAGCGGCCCCGCTTTGAAAAAAACGGCAACGCACCGTTGCCCATCCGGGCCCAGGCAGACAAAGAAGCTATTCAGGTTGTGGTGAACTTCGCTGTGAATAGCTTCTTTGTTCGTTGTGAACACAGTCAAAATCAAAGACTTGATCATTCCCGGGTACCGCGTCTGGTTTGAACATCTCAGAACCGTAGATAAAGCTGTTCAGCTCTGAGATTCTACGATGATGGCCGTTCATGTGAGCGAAAAGCTGGTTCCGTACGAAGTCAATCGTTCATTTCTCAGCATAAGATACTGAGCGGATTTTCTCAAGTCAGGATGACCTGCTTTCAATCTCTACCACCCGAGACTATCTTACAAATTGCAGCTTGTTCAGACCTCAGTTTCTCATGCCTGCGCCATCTCCGACTCACCTGTCGCGGTCTTGCCGTATATATCGCACCGCTCTTGTACCGCAAAGCTGTTCGAAACCATGCTGTCCTCCTGCGGCTGGTGCGGAACGACCAAAGCGATATCATTCTGCGGGTTTTGAAAAGCCAGATCAGGCCAGATTGTGTTGCACCTCAATACTACCTAGACAGCTGCCTCCACGACGCCCTCCTGGGAGGTCACCTCAAGGCTGCCAACGTCCTTCTCAGTAATGGAGCTGAACCTGTCTTCAGTATAGATGTTCTCAAACGCTCACAGTATCGTGAAACCATGGACTGGCTTCAAGTCCATGATGCAACAGGACTTGGGTCTCTCGCACTCGCAGCCAGAAGCCGCTATCACATGACGTTCTGGTATAAAGATTTCGCGCCTTACGCCTCCGAGGAGGAGTTCTGGGAGTGCAAGAAGAAGGCCATGGAGGTGATCTTAGAGACACTCGGGAATCATTGTGAAAGAGAAGAAGATAAGTATGGGTGTAAGATAATTCACAGGGCCGGAGCCCATGGCATGGGAAATGACAAACAATCTGAGAAGAACCAAATGATGAGTCAAAATCCGAAATTTGCCAGAGAGCTTGACATGGCCCTCGCCGAGGCTGCAACTGCGGACGGGCACTCTATCGAACTGATGGACTTCCTATTCGGGTGCGGAGCAACTGTGACCTGCGAACTCACGCCGCAACTTGCCGGCCATGCCTGGCATAATGCCCTGAACGAGGAAGTTCCGGCTCTTTTCGAGGCCAAGGTGGATCTGCTCCTACGTCATGGCGTCGACCCCACGAGTGTTTGGACCTGGGAGGGCATGCGGACACCGATACAATTTTTCCTCCGCAAGTTATACCGAAATTTTCAATACTTTGAGGAACCTAGCGCCTTCACGAACAAGGTCTTTGGTTATATGGAATACCTAGAGTCGCGTGGCTGCCTACGCTGGCCACGATCCACTCTCAGATCCTTTGTGCTCAGCGTCGGAACTGTTCAGATCAACTGCATCATCGACTATCCTCGAGTGGAGGAGCACGATAATATGAGTACCTCCAGTTTCGTTGACGATGCCACAGATGGCAGGCGTGAGCTTGAGCTCATATTTGAAGAGCCGGACCAATCCCTGCTACCACTCCGAGTGGCTCTATCGAATCAAATTGCGCTCAAGCACTTCCGGGATCTGGTGATCCTGCCGTCACCCACATTCAGAGAGTGGGTTGACAAGGAGTCAATGTCCAATGCTATTCAAGATCTCAATAGAATGTTTAGGACTTTTTCGGTCTCGTCACCTAGTGTGGACATCATTCGTGCTGCAGAGGACCAGCTCAACGAGAATCATCCTAGATCCGAGGATGAAAGCAGCAGTTAGTCTGTATCCAGCATTTTATCGAAGGAGATTTGGGCATCGCGCACTGATATTTTGAACATGTTGATATGGTAGAGCCACTAGGTATTTAACTGCTAGAGTTTGATCACATCAATTCGGTTCTCCTCCTTCCTGAAGATGTGTCAAAAGCGAATTATGTTGCTGGAGGTGCCCGTACATCCACTTCATCATCACTTATGTTCTAGGTATCCTCAATCCTAGAAAATGCCGCACTGAATCCAACGCCTCTCGAGTTGTTGCCTTCATGACTAAAAGCTTTGCAGTTGATAGCCCCGCAGCCAACTTGAGTTACCAGGGGGAATGAAGGAATCCTCCTCACCTACCAGTTCACTCCTCGTCTTATTCAGTTATTCAATCAATCTGAGTCGTGAATCTTCATCCGTGTTGCCACCCAAGGTCTTACCCCTCAGGGTCTGAGGTTATCAAAGTTCAATTACAAGTTGGTACTCCGAGTAATCTCAGAGTTGCGGGCATCTCTTCAGGGGTCGGGCAAGTTCAGAGAGGTTCTCGAAAGGTGTAGAGTGCCACCTTCTTCCCATAATGCTGGGCTTGGAAACCCGCCAGTTTCCCACACAGACAGACACACACACACACACACACACACATACAACACCTTCGTCCGTGAGACAACAACAACAACAACCCATCAAGCACACATCTCATCACCACATCAACCGTCATACTTCAATCTATCAAAACTAACATTGTGGAAACGGCCAAAATGAAGTTTACAACTATTCTTCTTGCTGTACTGCCTCTCATTGCCGCCGGCGGAGGCCCAAAGGACCCAGACAGTCTTCCGAGAATACCACTTCCGCTTCACGAACTGCCCGAGTGCTGGCAAGAGTGTTTGCAGCTAGAAAACATCCACTACCCTCCCAATATCAACAAGGTCAACGTACACGACTTCTGTGTCGACGACGGCTACCACCTCCGATGGTGGTCTTTCCACACCCTCGCTACATGCACAGCGGGCAAATGCAACAGGGAAGAAGGCATACAGTCACAGAAATGGCTGTTCGATCTCTGCAAAATGAACTAGTTTCGAACAGAGACACGGTTGCGTGGCGCACGCAGGCTGTTCGAAAAATTCGGCTTCGAATGGCATCGGATAAATAAGACAGTACTTCCATGGCCAAGGTGTCAAGAAGAACTCGGGAACTGATACCTTACAGCAGACTAATCTCAGATGGTGTTGCAAGGCCACAAGTTGCAACGTGAGCATCAAGATATGCAGTAGAGGTCGGCTATCTATTGGAAGTAAGAGACAGGAACGAGTCTCGCGCTGAAATAGAGGGTGCAAGCGAGCAACGGCCTCGGTGATTATCTAACCGAGGACCGGGTGAATGATGATGAGGCTACGGATGATCAGAGTCATCGCGACAGATAGGCATTTGAGATAGCCCCTGGTGCTGGAAGTTATCAACACGACAACGTGCAATATGCAGCTGACAGGATGGACAAAGATAAGAGGGCAGAATGGAGGCGTTAGAGACTACTTGATATGAGCTTCACTCGTCGAAGGCCTAAACCTAGAAACGTACCTACTCCTGGTATAGGCATCTGGCAGCTGTTGAGAATGCTTCAATTACGACTTCGCCGTTACTAGAAAATGAAACTTGATGACTTGCAAGAAGACATTTCATAAATCATCGCCTGGACTTCCTGTGATAACAAGACTGCAGGTTCTTGACCCAACTCATGATGGCATATAGCGCTGCCCGTTGGGTTTATGTCGCCATGGATGCACTGGCACACTGCACTGGAAGCATGTGCGAGCTCGTATAGGTATTCGGAAATGGTACTGGCGCTAGAGGTCTACAAACATCAGGCCACACGTCTAGGTACTGAACGTGTCTGGCAAAGCCCACATGAAGCCGAGAGTGTGAACGAGCCCAGAAGCCACGATGACAGGCCACTTGTTCATTCGCTCATTACACGCATACCCATTGTATGAAGACGAAGTCCCGAGAATCATTTGCTTCCCGCTGTCACCATTGGCACCCATCTGTCATGATGACGGCGAATAAGATGGCACTGAAGCTATCGACTGAGTACCGAGAGAAGAAAAAACCATACAAGCAAAGCAGGGAAAGGTAAATCCGTGTTATCTCGGAAAGGGTCGAGACGCAACACACAGCTGCCCGCAAGATGCATCGCTTCGCAGCCTGCTCGAACCATCAAACTATGCTCGAGATGCTCACCCGCGTATCCTCGGGAACCCACTGAGCCAACCCGAGACTTAATCTTAGGATGTTGCCAGTTTAGGCGAAGTGGATTCATCGTACACCTATCTAATTGGACGAACGGAGGCATTGGCAATTTGAATCGGAGGATCAAGCCTCCAGGTGCATGAACTTGCCCCAGAAGTCACACCTGTGACCGAGTCGTTCGCGAGAAACCAGAGGACAGTGGTTAAACAAAGAAAAAGCTGGTTCTCACACAACAAAATCGTTGTTTGCTGGGTACCTGGTGTGCTTGGCCTGGTTCTGGACAAACGCGACGGATGTTTGGTTCCTTCAAAGCCGTTCTCTGTTTGAAGTTCCGTCTCCACCATGACTCGCAGGCCTTGGCCTGTCACTTTCGTCTCATTGGCCGGCGACACGCCAAAGGATGCGGTGCAGCGGTGCGATGAGCACTAAGAACCTAGGCTGGCGGCCCGATGGGGCGCCTGCATGATGCAAGGCAGCGAGGGATAAATCGTTGAGCAACCTTTGCAGTCCTTTCAGATTGATGTAGGCAGACGACGGCGGAATCAAGGCCTGTTGTTCAGTCGCGTTGTCGAAATGATGGTATCCTGAAGGGACAGAAAATGCGAAAAGTCCGAGATGGAACGCTTCTACCGTATGACGTAAAGCATCCTGTACGTACACAGTACACCGGGTAAAAAAGTCCGTCCGGTGGCCGGGATCGTCGGGTTGACGGAGCCGGAGGCGGCGGATGATAAGGTAAGCTGACAGGTGACAAGGATTGGTCACAGGGGTTGGTTGAGAGACCTGCAGCGCACCAGGCACGCCGCACGCCAGATTCTCCCGCTCAATCCCAGGTCGATTACCACATCAAAGAGAAATGGACTGGCACACTGGATCCAGATGGGTTATGGATGGATCCCGCGTGCCCGCCCCATGCCGCTGTCCGCCCGTCATGCCGGGCTGACGCTCCAGACCCTTCCTCCGAGCGACCTCGCACTGTTACGCTGACGAGTAGAAGTTCTTCAAATTAAAGAAAAAAAAGTGCGAATGCGACGAGGACTACGTTCTTTGTAACACATCACTTGTTCCTGTCTGCGAAACCGACACCAGATAATACAGTCCTATACACATACAATGACGACCGATACCGCAGCTTCTGACCCCGCGGCCAGGGTCAAGTCCCACGCCTCGACGGTGTCTGACGTTGGGTATCCTCATGGCCACTTGGGTCACCTCAACGAGCACGAGGAGACGCAGCTCGCCGCCTTCAGGACGCTGCTTGAGGAGAAGGGGCTGTACAAGCCAGGCCCGCCAGCTTCCCACGACGACCCGACTCTGCTGTGAGTTATTCAGCAAGATCCTCTTTTTCTGCCGCAGTCCCTACTGCGCCGGAACATCCGGAAGCAAACGAGAAGGGCATTTTTGCTGACTTTTTCCCGCCTTATCTTGCAGCCGATACCTTCGCGCACGAAGATGGGTCCCCGAAGACGCTCTCACGCAGTTCAAAGACACGGAAGCCTGGCGCGCCGCCAACGACATTGACGTCCTCTACCAGACCATCGAGCTCGACGCCTTTGAGCAGTCCCGTCGCCTGTATCCGCAATGGCTTGGCCGTCGCGACCGTCGCGGCATTCCCATCTACCTGTTTGAGGTCCAGAAGCTAGACAGTAAGACGGTCGCTACCTATGAGAAGCTGGGCAAGGAATCGACCTTTAGCAAGGCCAAGTTCGACGGCAAGACGCCCGCGGGCATGATGCGCCTATTTGCGCTGTACGAGAACCTCACTCGCTTCACCCAGCCGCTGTCGACGCAGCTCAGAGATCGCGAGCACCGCGAAGCTCCCATCACCCTGAGCACCAACATCGTTGATATCTCGGGGGTCAGTTTGAAGCAGTTTTGGAATCTGAAGGGACACATGCAGGCTGCTAGTCAGCTCGCAACAGCGCATTATCCAGAGACTCTCGATCGTAAGCAGACACCCATCACCATCATTTGACTGTACTGACAGGCCTTAACCAGGTATCTTCATCATCGGTGCCCCTGCCTTCTTCTCAACAGTCTGGGCTTGGATCAAGCGATGGTTCGACCCGATCACGGTCTCCAAGATTTTCATCCTCAGCCCCCACGAGGTCCGCCCGACACTCGAGCAGTTCATCGAACCCCGTAACATCCCGAAGCAGTACGGCGGCGAACTCGAGTTCAAGTTTGGCGACCAGCCAACCGTCGACTCCGCATGGGAGGGAATTGTGGAGTGGGCACCCGGCCATGACCGCTTCACGTCACGCCCTGCTATCTGGCGCGAGACCGCAGATGGTACCCGCGTTGAGTGCGTTGGTATCGGCAGCGTCAAGGGCGTCGAGCAGAATGAGGTTATTTGCTCCGTACCCAAGACGTGGCCGCCCAAGGCCGAGGTACCTGCTGCCGAGCCGACACCGATTGCAACACCTGCGACTAAGGAAGGGAGCGTGACGGAAGAGGCCGCCGCCAAGACGGAGACAGAGGAGCCTGTCAAGGCCGCCGATGTGCCAGAGGCCGGCATGCAGAAACTTTCCATTGCAGACGATAAGCAGGTCGCGGAGAAACACGTCGAGGGCAGCACGTCGACGCCCCCACCAGGACTGGCATAGACTAGTGATAAACGGGCATGAGACTTCGAGACTGGGGTTTGCATATTTGGTATGGCAGGGTCGATCTGCTTGGTGATCTGGATATGGTTTGATCTAATACCCCGATGGTGATGGAGTAGGTCTGGCAGGGCAAGGCAACATTGGCTGGAGTAACATCTTTATCGATTCATTTCGGACATCTATTTAATAATATAGCATTTGGTATCACGACGTTGTATCGTCCCATCTACCCAACGACCCTAGGCGAAACGCACAGAAGGCAATTCTAGGTTTGGACCATCCCGTCTCCCCATCCAATCTATCGGGTCTATCCTGTCCGTGTGCAAGTGCAACAGGAACCAAAGTTCATCATTCAACCCACCAAACGCCTTTTTGTGCAAACCCGGCCCGCCATCCAGTCGTACAAGGAACACTTATCCCGAGTGTCCCCTCCTCTTGCGCCACTCCTTCACACCCTTCTCGATCTCGTTCCACGTCACACCGTCCCTCACGAGCTGCATGGTGACGCCCAGGCTCTCCGTCTCCCGGTTTCGACTCTCATCGTCAAAGAACAGCATATCCGTAAATGGAATGCCCGTCTTCTTGAATATGGTTTCGAAATGTTTTATCTTGCTACTAGGGTATATCTCCAACGGTGCGTCAAAGTACTCGAGCGCCCTCTTTGTCTTCTCCTTCTTGCCACTCCCTCCTTCCTCGGCACTCGGCGGCGGAACGTGCAGGAGCTTGAGCATGTCCCGTGCTAGATCGGGTGCCGACGTCCGTGACGCGACTGCGATTTTGATGCCTGCCAGTGGCAGAGTGTAGAGTATTCGCGGCACGTCCTGGTAAAAGGCGAAGGACTCGCCGTGACGGTCTGTGACTGCCGAATGTGTCGCATTGGCTTTCAGCGGGCCGGAGACATGTGTATCGACCCAAAAGGGCCAGAGGGTGTAATCGAGATCGAAGACAATGAGCTTCGGAAGGGGAAGCTCGTCGGTCAGGATTCGAGGGAGGGAGAGGGAGGTGGAATTCGTCGTCGAGGTCGAGGGCGTCCCGAGGTTTGTGGTGCTCCCGCCTTGGGGATTCTTTGAGAGTTTCTTTGGCATCGGGTCGGTGGGGGAGGAACAACTGATGAGCCCTGTAGTAGGTGCGAAGCAGTCAGACAGGCGAAGAACAGGAGACGTAGGAAATTGTTGCAGGTTCAGAAGAAGTGACGGACCGAGCTTGAAGGTAGGAGGAGGGGTAAAGTGCCGATTGCGACTGCTCGCGATAAGTTTCGTCAGAACGTCCTGGCCGTCCATGGTGGGGAGCGAAGAAGGAGTACGTACCTTCCTGGCTCGTGCTTTTATGGCGGGTGCCTGCCCATCCACACAGGAACCCACTCATTTAAGGTACGTACTTGAGGCGGCATTTTGGGCCATGGCATTTCCCTCGGGAAGGTGCGAAAAATTTGGAATGGTGAGCTGGGAGGAAAGAACCATGGAGATTCCAATTCCCGTCCATCAACATTTCGTTTTCGACTGTCTTCCTTCTAATTGTTGCCCACAAGAATGGAGAACATTAGGTCGTCTAGATGCATCCCGGAATTCCATCCTACCGCGACATCTGCTTTCGACTTTCCACGTGCCCGCGGTATCTGCCTCACTCAACGAGCAAAACACGAGCGTTCTATGAGCCCATGACCGCCGTCCTAGCGGGCAAAAAGCATGTCTCGACGTTGGCCTGATTCGAACAGACGCTCCCGAAGGAACAAGATTTCTAGTCTTGCGCATTAGACCACTCTGCCACAACGCCAGAAGAGGAATCCGCTTTCAAGCGGGGATGATGGAGAGGGCGTCTCCATGAGCCCAAGGATGTGACTTTGCGTTGTGTGGTGGTGGATTGGGGCTTCGGTTGGAGAGAGGGCCGTGATACTCTCAACAGGGCGGTGAAGAAGTAATGCTCCGAATAGACCCTTGCCTCCTCTCCTATGCTGACTGGCGTCGGAGCTTAGTATCCTCTTTCGGCAGAGGGCCGGCTTGAACTTCGGCTCCGACAGCTTCGAAGACTGGCGATTCATCCGGCCGGTTGGCCCACTTCCAAATGTCCTGAACCGATCTCGACGGGGCCGGCCGGGCATTTCCTGCAACTATGACGGCCGGCGACGCAGCTTCGGTCAACACAACTCCCGGCAGCCGCCCCTGTTTGTTCCAGAGAAACTTGACCCAGAAACCCGCGGATTTACGGACTTTCGGGTTTCTGTACCCCGCCGGCAACATGCCGACGATGCACCCCGCGATGGCAATACCCCACGTCCTAATGATAGGAAGAGAAGAGTCGAATCGAGCCAGCAAACATTGGCTTGTTCAGCGAGTGGCTAAGTCCCGGCAAAGTATAGGAACCTTATGTGTTGATTCCATCCGTTCGGGACTACTTTTTGGCCCCGAGAGCTATGGCCATCCGTCAGAAAGCATGTTTCGCCCATCCTTCAACGTGTGCCGAGGGAGCTCTGATACGTGACGACTCATCCGGTAGGCTCATTCGGCACTTGAATTGAAGGAAAAGGATGAGGTTTGTTTTATTTCCAAGTCGATGTATGGTGATTCTAAGAAGATGAGAGGCAGCTTCAGCCTTGGCGCGTCGGGCTTGTCAGGATTATCTTGAGAAACATCCTAGTGGAAGCCAGGACTTTCTCCGAACGCCACGACCCTCGAACCGCCGTCTGAGTTTCGGCACCGCGCCATCTGAAATTACACCACAACAGCGCCCAAGAATAGGGGACTTGCAGCCACCACAACTCCTTTTACGCCGGACTCTGACGCCTCCAGCGCAAGTACCGAGCGTGCGTGACGTCCGATGGACTGTAGTGGGGTAGTGCGGGGGAACAAACATGGCCAAATCACCCATCCAACGGCATTTCCGCCGGTGAGATGTAAGCTCCAAGGCTAAATATAAGACGGCTCTGGCCCTGCTTGCTTTACAAAGCGACACTCGACGCCAAAGCCTCGCGCCAACAGTCAACCTTTTTCCACAGGTCTTCACAGTCACAGCACCGACGAGCTACGCCCACCATGCCCGACCGGAAGATCCAGCTCGTCCGCCTGGCGCACGTCTTCTACAAGCACAAGAACATTGAAGAAGCTCGTAAGTTTTACGACGACTTTGGCTTTTACGAACTCGAGCGCAAAGGGAACAAGACATTCTACCGAGGCTATGGTACCGAGCCATTCGTGTTATGCGCCGAAGAGGCAGAGGAGGACGAGTTCGGAGGTCCGGCTTTCGTTGTGGAGTCTCTGGAGGACCTCGAGTACGCGTCCAAGACGTTGCCAAGCGCAACAGAAGTCCATGATCTCAAAGACGTGCCGGGCGGCGGTAAATGTGTGACGTTCAAAGACCCCGTCGACGGCTGGCCACTGCATCTGGTGTACAACCAGACACCAATCCAGAGGAGGGATCCGGGATTCCCGAATCTCAAGTTCAACTTCGTGAGCATTACATATGAAGACATTCAGGAGTCTCATGCTGATCAGAATATAGCCGGAAGAGAAGCATCGCGATGTTAACAAGAAGCAGCGTTTCACCAAGCGCCCGGCACCAGTACACAAGCTGGGCCACTTTGGCGTGTGTCTGACGAACTTTGACAAGGCGTACGAGTTTTACACTAGCAACTTCAACCTGTACCCGAGTGAGGCGAGTATTCCAGGCGTGCGAAGCTAGATTGTAGTCATCCTAACATTTATGATGTGCAGCTCGTCCACGCCCCTGACAATAAGGACAAGAGCGTTACCGTGTTTTTTCGACTGGCACGTGGCAAGGAATTCGTTGACCACCACTGCTTCTTCTTCCTTGAGGGCCCCAAGTTCCACGTCCACCACTCCTCGTTCGAAACGCACGACTTTGACACCCAGGTGCTGGGCCACGACTGGCTGAGAGAACAGGGTCACACGCTTTGTTGGGGCGTAGGCCGCCATATTATGGGAAGTCAAATCTTTGATTATTGGTGAGTTAGCTATCCCCAGTGGCTTTCCTATACGTGGAAAACGGCATGGAAAGCTGACAGGAGAACAGGTTCGACCCCTCCGGCTTCATCATGGAGCACTACGTTGATGGGGACCTGCTTGATGACACGGAGAAGACGCACCACACTCCCGCAGCGCCGGATAATCTACACATCTGGGGTGAGTTAGAACCGTACCCGAAAGATATAACCTATGCTAACAGATGTGGTACAGGTCCGGAGGTGCCTGCGACTTTCCTGGCGTGATAGCGGGCAGATTTTCAGTGTCTTTCTTGTAGCAAAAACATGTATCGTAGTGCATAGGATTTCGGCACAAACTTCCAGCAGAAGGTCAATTACATTTTAATCGCCTTGCGCCATTTCGGAATATGACGACATACAGTGGCTCACCCTTGATCCAGGAATTTTGCAGCATCATGGCGAATATTCGAAGTTTTGGAGCGCGAAGTTCGTAACTCCACACATTCTGCTCGCATCTTACTTGACCTCGGAGTTTGCAAGCTCAGGTTTACCACAAGGCGACACCGTTACACGCTACCGACTCGCTCTGGCCGAACATCTCTTCGGTGAAGTTCCAGTTTTACGTCACTTGGCTGAAGATGGGACGAGACGGGGAGTGGCTTTGCTGTGGCTTCGCCCCGATCGACCAGCTGACAAGCACAGGCCGATTGTCGAGCTGAGAGCTGGCTATTTGGGGGTGCCGCGGATTCTGAAAGTTGTCCATCTTTAGTTGCGACTACGCTCTGGTGCTACTCTTCCGAAGTTACCAAGGTCCCAAAAGAAAGAGATACCTGGTTCATGATGCATTGTCAAACATCGAGAAAATAGAACCATGTTGAAGACCTACGGTGATATCATCTCGGAAGTATAGTCGATGTCTGACCCTCGGACGAAATCATTTTCCAAGCACCTATCACATACCGTACCCATTTGACGAACGAAATTCGCAACCTAATCTGGGGAGGATTAGACTTTCCGCACCTCCCCACGAATATCTACTGTAAGGACTCCGTATTGAAGTAATCGACGACCGAGGTGCCTCAATTGCGGGGTTCATTCGACTGCACTTTGAAGCGACGACCATGTACCCCTGCACCACGATGCAAGCTTCTTTGGAGGAAGAGTGACAAACGAACCCCTGTCCTAGTCTTCCCGTTTAGTGTCGCATTCTCCATCGGCACTGCCTCCCTTTTGCGGCACCGGTCGCCGGCGCAATGTTAAAATTCAACGGCCAAGAGGCCCACGTGTTCGAGCTTAAGCACTTCGACAGGTCTCCTGGCTTTCTGGCTGGCCGAATGGGCCTACAATAAGGAGGGGCGATTGACGAGCTGCAGCTCTACTGGGGCGATGGTAAAGAAGCTTCGGCTGTCTCGGTTGGCCCTTTGCCTCTTTGGGGCAGGTTTCACTGATTCAGGGGCGCATCGGCGCATCTGACAATCATTGGTGTGCGGGGGTTAGGGTGATATTGCGGTCGATGATCATCTCGCCGCCTGCAGCTTCCATCGGCCAGCTTCACATCGCAACCGGGGTAGACAGAGAGCTGAAGCCTGGAAGGTCTCCCTCTCCCTCTTCGTCTGCGATCCAGTAGCACGTGTCAGACGTGGTTCGCACAAGATGTTCCTGAGCGGCCCAGGGGTGAGCCTTGGGAAATGAAGTCTCTTTACTTAAGGTTGACGACTGCCACACGCATCGCTAGAAACATGGTCTTTTGATCCTGCATCCTCACGCATCCCGCCGCAAGCCGTTCGCTCTCCAATCCACTCCGCACCTCCCTCTCACCCCCGGACAAGGACTACGAGCCACTTCGCACTCCGTGTACCCATTTCACATCACGATGCGCGCTGACACCACATTTGTGTTGCTTGCACAGGCTCTCGCCGTCCAGGGCGTGCGGATCGTCCAGTCCAACGACGACGGGTGGGCAGAGCTCTACGTTCGCTCTTTCAACGATGCGCTGAAAGCCTCCGGCCATGACGTCCTTCTCTCGGCACCTGCCGAGAACAAGTCCGGCTCCAGTATGTATAATCAAACTCATCCGAAGGTTCATTCACAAACGCGACGTCCACTAACACTAAATCCATCACAGGTTCCCTCGACGTTGAGCCGAGCCCGCGCACTAGCGCTTGCCAGTACAACAGCTGCGCAGCCAACAGCGGACCGGTCGGCTTCAATGAGACCCGCAAGGACCTCCGCTGGGTCAACTCTTACCCGGTAACATCCATGCGCTACGGTATCGAGCAGTTTGCTCCAGAGCAATTCAATGGTGCCGCTGTAGAACTCGCCGTCTCTGGCCCTAACGTCGGCTCCAACCTCTGGCTCCAGGTCCCTTTCTCCGGCACCGTCGGTACCGCTGTCTATGCTTCAGGCACGAAGGGCATTCCCGCCATCGCCTTCTCCGGCTCTTCGGATGGCACTCTCGCGTGGAACACGCAGCCTGCGCCTGCGCGGAGCACGGTATACGCCGAGCTCGCGACGCGGCTGGTGGATAAAATTGTGAGCGGGGACGCTCCGTACCTGCCGGAGAAGACATGGTTGAATGTCAATTTCCCGAAGGTCAGCGACACGGAGTGCAACGACCCGGACCAGTTCAAGTGGGTCTTGAGCCGGATCAACCCGGGACTGCTGTCCGGTCCGGATGTGAGCACGTGCGGTGACGACGCGAGGTTGCCCGAGGAGAACACGGTTGTCGGTACGGCGGGATGCTACATATCCGTGAGCGTGGGTGATTCCAACGACAAGACGACGGCGTCCAAGGACAAGCAGCAGCCTGTGCTAGATCGGTTGTCTGGCTTTCTATCTTGCCTGCCTTGAAACGATTGAGAAGTTATCCTCTTCCACGGGATAGCTGTGTGTTACTTAGTATGATCCTTCATAAACACATGAGTGATACAGATCCATGAGTGTTTCAGGCTGTGGCTCGTCGACCGATTGTTGGGAGCCCAAGTTGCCTACCCTTCGAGACAAGAGATTCGACAAGACTCGGTAGGCGCCACCTCTGCGTGGACATGCTTGGGCAGGGCAGGTCGCCACATGCCATATAAGCCCGGTACTAGCTAGTCGATCCGGAAGCTTTATCCCACGCACCCGTGGCTATGGCGACGCCCACGACCCAAAACGGGGTATGCTCACCTACCTAAGACACAGAGGTACTTCTGAGTACTGTTGATGCCGTTGCCAGGCGAGTAAGCTCCATGAGACCAATAGAGACTGTAATACAACCGTTCCATGTACAGTCTATCATCTTCCTTTGTTCTGATATTATACCAGGCAGAATAATGCCTGAGGACCGCCTAATGTGGCATGACAAAGTGTAGAATATAGTTTGGCTATTGATGAGAACCTGGGACTTGTCGGCCTCAACATTTATCGCCGCGCCGCACTCGCCCTCGAGCATGAGCCACCTGCTCTTCACGATTTGGATACCTATTCTCCTGGGTTTCCTCCTGGATCATGCCCTGCTACTCTTCAGCCTTGGTACAACTATTGGCTCATTTAAATAGTTTTCTCCCCTGACACTGTGGCCACTCTAGCAAGCTGCAAATCAGCGCAGAGCATTCATGTCATATGACAGAACCTGCCAGGTTCCTGTTTCTCTCCAGTCTCTACCTAAATAAAAAAGACCTGCAAGAGATGGATTCAGCGGGTATCGCCTTTATGTCTCTACTAGTTAGAGGGCCATGGCCGTGGCTGGCCGCCGCATTCACTATAAATTTAATATTAAGGAGGCAAGAAGTAAGTTCTCTTCTTCCTATCTACAATTTCAGGGATTATAGACTTTAGGGACGACAAGAGGGATATACTTAAGTAGTCGTTCAGCAAAGTTACTTCTAATTAGTTCCCCTAATTATAAGATCCGCCGCTCGCTTTTATTTACTACTAAAATAATATTCTAAACGGAATACGGCGTAAGAAACGCCCGATATAGTATAATACGATGCTTGTTCCCGTTAGGCCTTGATGGTCCTCGCTACGATCGACCCTAGCCATTTGCTATCTTCTCTCCATAACTTAGTATTACAGGCTAGACCCGATTAGTGGATCCGAGCCTCAGCCCGGATACTGCTACGGCTCACCGCGCCGCTTTTATAGAGGTCCTATTTAAGCGCTTTTCTTTTATAGAACCTCTATAGAACCTCCGCTCTAAAAACCTCTACTTTTTAGCTTAGATTTTATATATTAAAATCCCTTAAACGTAGATTTATATAGGCTAAACTTTTAATATATTTAAGCTCTTTTTTTTATTTATTTTATTATTAATTATATTATATAATAAAGGTAAATATAATTATTAACGTATTACTAAGTACTTAATTAGCGGGAGTTATAATATAGACCTAGGAATAGATTATTTAAGGCCTATAAAAGCTAATAAAAGCCTAGAAATAGGGCGAAATAAAAAGAATAGTAAATATAATAGAGCAGAAATATAAATATAAAAAGTCCGACGAGATCTTATAGTTATTATAAAAATAGCTTTAATAAATAAACGGACCCCCCGCGCTTTTTATTAAAAAACCCGACTTTTATAAAACCCTTACTAGTTTAAAAGCGCCCTTTAATAATAGAGCCCTTTATAAAAAGCTTTTACTAAACCTAGTAAAGTTCTTAAATAATAAAAACGAATATAGTATTTAAAAAGCCTAGATATATAATAAGCTCGTTATTAATATATTATTTTATTATATTAATAAAGAACGGAGATACTTTATTTTTTTATACCTCGCCCCTCGGGTTTAAAAAATAATAAACTAGTTTTATTATAAAAAAAAAAAAAAAAAAAACGAGGGTTTAACGAACTCCTCGCGTATTTTTTATAAATATATAGCGACCTTTATTAAGCTAGGAACGCCCTTAATAAATTATTAATAATAATTATAAAAAAGGGCGAGAAGTTCGTAATATTTTTACTCCGATTTAAAAAAACTTTAGCTAACGCTAGAGGTTAAAAATAGCCCGCGGACGTTATAATTTAATACTTTATTTATATTTTAGCTCTATAATTAAAAAAATATATAATCGCTATGTTTTAAAATAAATCGTTATATATTAGCTTTTTTTATAACGTCTAAGTAGTAGCTAGTAATATAGAGGGCTACGATTTTAATTAGCGTAACCCCTAAATTTTAATATAAAAAGGATATTATATAATAAAAGAACGTATCGATAGCGATAGAAATATAATTATAATTAGAGTTATAAAGGCTACAAAGCCCGAATAAAAAGCAAAGCTATTAATAAAACTAAAAACTCGGCGCTACTTTAATTATAATAAAGTTAAATATATTATAAAGAACTATAAATAAAAATAGAAAGCCTATATAGTTTAAGTAGCGCCTATAGAGCACTATATAAAGGAAGTAAACTCGGATAATAACGAATATTATTTAAGAAAAGAATAGCTCTAATATAAAATCGGGTACCGGAGCTTATAAATAAAGAATAGATAGGATAAAAGTTATTTAATTAATAATAGACTATAAACGGGCTTTTAGCGCTATTTATTATAAAAATTAATAAAATATATAAGACTTTAACGTTAATAAACTACAAATATAATATATATTTTATAATAGACTTTTAATTAGCCCGCCGTTTTCGCTTCTTATATATAAATAAAACGAAGCGTAAACTTTATAAATTTATAAATAAATCCGCTTAAACTATAATTAAAAAGGTCGTCGCTTTTAATTTCGAAATTAATAACTATATAGAGAAGGTATATATATATATTATTAAAGGCCTAGATATAGACGTATTTTTTAAAAAACCTTAAATAAAACGGAACTATATTATATATAATATAGCTAAACAATAAATTTAATATAAAAAGGGTAAAGTAAAAGCGTACTTTAATAAATAAAAAGAAGGCGCTATAATATAAAAGATTTATAAAGTACAAAGCCTAGGAGCCCCTTTTTTTATTACTTTATATTATAAAGTTATTATAAAAAAAAAGCGCTAGCCGAGCGAGTACACTACGGGGATCTAAATAATTAGCCTTATTAATATTAATAAAGCCCTAAAGCTAAAGAACGAGACCGACTACTTCTTTTAATTACTATAATAAATAAAGAAAAAATATAGCGACCTCTTTAAGCTATTTAAAGTATACCCCTTTTTACCGGTTCGGCTAAGAATCGACTTTATAATTAACTTTAAATAATAGTTTAATAAATAAAAAGCGCCCCTCCCTTAGGGCCCCCTCTATTCTATATTCTATAAGGAGCTATTAATATTATATAATATTTTTAAAGACTTATTTAATAAAGGCTTTATTTAAGCTAATAGTTCCTCCGCTGGAGCCCCCGTTCTTTTTATTAAGAAATTAAAAAGCGGCCTACGCTTTTATTATAATTATAAAGCGTTAAACGTAATTATATAAAAAGACCGTTACTTTTTATTATTAATTAATAAAACCTTTTAAAGAGTTAATTTAATAAAGTAGTTTATAAAGCTAAACGTTATAGCGGCTTTTTATAAAATTAAAATAGTTAAAAAGTATTAAAAAAAGACTACTTTTTAAATATAATACGGCCTTTTTAAATAAATAGTTTATCTATTTAGCCTAACTAGGGCGCTTATTATATTCTAAAAGTATATAAACTAGATTTTAAAAGAATTCTTTAACGACTTCGCCTCTATATATATAGACGATATATTAATATATTTAAATAGATTAAAAGCGGACTATAAAAAAAAAGTATAATAGATATTACGCGCCCTCGTAACGGCGGGCCTTAATCTTGACTTAGTTAAAAGCGAATTCTTTATTTAAATTATAAAGTATATTAAATTTATTTTTAAAACGGGATAAAGGATTATATATAACTTAGAGAAAGTATATATTATTTATAAATAGCTTATACTTAAAATAATAAAAGGGGTTAAAAGCTTCTTTAGCTTTATTAACTATTATTACGTATTTATATATAATTATTCTATTATTATCGAACCCTTTAACGCTCTAATTAAAAAAAGGGCGCTGTTTAAATAAATAGCTAAATAAAACGCCGCTTTTAAAATATTTAAAAAGCGTTTTATATCCGCGCTTTTATTTTAAAGCTTTAACCCTAACTTAGTAATAGTTATTAAAACCGATTACTTTAAATTTATACTTAGAGGCTCTTTTATATAAAAGGATCCGTTAAGCGTACGCCAATTAATCGCTTTTTATTTATAAAAGCTTATACCTATTTAGTATAATTATTTAATCTATAATAAAGAGCTCCTCGCTATAATATCCTATTTAAATACGTAGGACGTAGAGCTATAGAGCTCCTACGGATTTAAAATTATTATAAATTATAAAAAATTAAAGTATTTTATATAAAAATAGAAGCTAATTAAGTACTAGAGCCGTTAAGTAAAATAACTTTTATAATATTATTTTAAAATCGAGTACTATTTAGACCGTTTATTAGCCGCCCTAAATACGCTTTTTAAGTATAAATAAAACGCCCTAACTAGCTAGGACGACGAAAAAGAGAGGGAAAGGATTATTTAAGCGATTTTTAATTTTATTTAGCTAGCGACTAGTATAATTTATTAAACCGAAACTATAAAAGTACCCGAGCTACCCGAGACCGATATTTTTATAAATAACGTAGAGCTTTAATAATAATAAAACGAAATAAAAATAAAAGATAAATAATATTTTAAAATATATAAAGTAGTATTAAACAGAGCTAGGGCGCTCCTCTTTAAGTTAGGCCTTAAATTATAAATTATAAAATATAATATTAATATATTTTTAAAACTAACTTAGCGAAAGAGATTATAAATCTTTAAATATAAAGACCTAGATTATAACA